AACCAGATGAGATAATTGTTTGCTTTACTTCTTTAGTTACTGTTCTATGTTTTAGGAAAAATATGTTTAAGAACTTATTTCTAAATATTAATAATGTATATACATATATATAATGTATAATAATTGAAATGTGACTGTATTTTACAAAATACTAGTCTACTAAAACACAGCCAAGACAAGTTACTTTTCACAGACCAAAAGTCAGTTTTATGTTATTTGATACAGTAACATGAGTGCACGTCATTGTAACTTCTGTATTGTTAGTCAGGCACAGCTGAACGGTCAATGTAATAAAAATAATAAATATATATATAAATGTATAATATTATGAGATTTAAGCTATTTAGTCTAAACATTTATGTTTTCAGGTTATAATCTGTGTTTATTCTAGAATGAAAAAGGCATAATTTATATTTATTTCCTAATTTTTTATGGTGGTTACAAGAACCCATACAGAGATTAATTACTGAAAATAACAGATAAAATATAAAGTTTTTTCTTAAGAAACGTTTGATAACTATCTGGACATTATAAAGATTTCACATGTGAAATTTGAAAATTTTCTGATCCATAAAAGTATTTTTAATTCTAAAATGAATAATATGCAAAAAAGAAACAAAAAAGACACAAGAAAAACATTGCTTTATAAACCTTAAGACTTAATATAAAAAAAACTTATATTTTGCATATGATAGCATTGTAATGTTTACTGATAATCTGCCAAATTTCATTAACATTTGCTTACTAATTTAAAAGTTATAGCATGAAAACTAGAACAAGCACAAAATGTTTACAAGATCGGTCCCAGGAACCGAGCCCATGCTGAAAGAGTTAATGGCAACACAACTAGTTAGCAAAGTTTGTTTGTTTGCTGTTAAGCACAAAGCTAATCAATGGGCTATTTGTGCTGTGTCCTTCACAGGTATCAAGCCCTGGATTTTGGTGTTACAAGTCCACTGAAGGGCAGTGTTAGCCAAGAATTTGAATAAAGAGAATGTTTAAGGTGCATAAACTTAGACAAAATCTCAAAATTTTATGCAACTTCAACTTTCAAAAAAAAAGTAAATAAATTATATAAAAATAATAATATTGAAATATTTTATACATAAAATAATTGCTGTTATGATTTATGTTAGACCAGTAAAGCTTTCTCCAAAAGTAATATAAATATGACAACACATACTTTTTGCAAATCTGTCCAAAGAGCTGTCCTGGGTTAACCACATTGCTTTTGTTTTGTGAGGAAGCGCTCACCAGTTTCATGAACAACAGAAGAGACTTGGTCAAAGGATTACTGTCTGGAAGCTTCACCTGAGTAGTCTTCTGTAAGAAATATGCTTTATTCATACTGCTATGCTTTCATCTTTACTATACAATTTTCAATGTGCTTTTTCCTTCTTGCTGAAATGGTATAACATCTCATTCTTTGTACTAGTTATTAACTCACGAAGAACTTACAATTTGAATAGATCTGCCATCACTAATAATCGCTTCATCCAAAGGAAGACTGTTCCCATCATCCTCTGCAGGGGTTTCCACAGTCCATAATGCATCATTTGGACAATGTGTTTCGAGAACGTTGAGCAGATACGGTGTCTGATTAAGATTCTACAGAGACAAGCATGTAATAAACAAATCATACTGTCAAAATAACACAATGTCCAGTAAAAAAAAAAGAATACTGTTTGTTCATAAAAAAAAGATAACTTTACAATCATCATTAGGCTTTAAGAGTACCAAGTATTTATGGAAAATGGAGATATTTAAAATTTAGCAATGTTTCTTATTACATGTTACACCGATAATTTCTGAACAAACAAAATGTAATTACATCAACTACATTTCAGACGTTTAGGCAGCAATGTTAAAAGATATATTATTATCATCAAATCAAAGTAAGTTAGGTCAAAATTAATTTACAAAATCAATAAAGTGAGAATCACAACTGGAATTTTTTTTTTTTTGCCAACTAATGAAAACTAATAAAGGATACAATTAGGTATATTAAACTGGATCTCCAAATTAAGTATTACAGTAAGTATAGGTAACAGATACATGTGAACTTTAGACAAGTTTCTATTTTAATTGCACTGCTCACTTTTCAAAAATGACAGAAATAATTGAATTTTTTTCTTAGGTTTAACTTGCATTTCACACCTAATTCATGAAGTATAACACTGATAACTATGTATTAATTAGAGATTAATCAACATTTAACATGGGTTTGTTTAATCAATTAATAAATTTTTCTTGTCTTCTAATCAGAATCGTTTAATTAGCAACTGGGCACTGAACAAATTAATGTTCATAGTCTCCAGCTAAAAGCTCAGAGAAAAAGGCTCAAATGCAATGTAAAATTTAAAGTAATTCAATTAAACTGCCAATTACATTTGAAACTAAAATTCAAATGTTACTCGACCAAAACACACAAAAGTTTATGAAGAAACTTCAAGAATTTTGTAAAAACTTTACTTGGTTACACTTAAAAAATCGAAATTCGTCATCAAAATGGGAGGCTAAATTATGTTAAAAATACACTTCATTTGACACGATAAGAAAAAGGTAACTCAGAAAGATATACCTGTATAGAAGTAAGATAAGTTTATGGCTTGAACAAATGTAATCAATAAACGTCATATGATCATCTTTTGTAAATACATTTGACCACATAAATGACTGCAATCTCCAAGACAATCTGTAGATTCCATTAGAGAGAGGTAATAATTAAATTTACTCGACATCTGGGAGTACTTAAAGAAGCGAGACTGTATATATATATATATTAATAATAATAATAAAAAAATAAAAAACTAACTAACTAACTAACTTGAGCTTCAAAGATGTACCTTTTATCAAAGGACATATGATAAAAAAACATGCTAATTATATAGGTCAGAATTAAAACAACTTAAAAGTAACATATAAATTAAAGAAGAGAACCCTGTACAACAAAATGAATAGAAGTATCTAAAACATCACCTTTAATAACTAGACTGAACTGATTTATAAGTTGGTTATCCTCGCTATTAGCGTGCTTCCATGTAGATGACAAGTTCATTCAATGGAAAGCATATTTTCTTCAATCTGTGTTTTGAATCAGATACATATATATCGAAGGGTCTAACGTAGACCCTGATGAAGAATAAACTGTAAAATGAAACTCCATTTTGGATTTGAAGGTTTAGTGGGTGATAGTTTATACTTATTAGCCACAAATTATGATATGTGGTTCTATGGGTCTAACAGCACTATGACTTGGAAAGTAAATTCTAATTAAACTCTTGGCTACTGTATGGAAAAGTGAAAATCACATTCTGTCAAGTCACTAAACAAAAAAAAAAGCTTGTTAGGGACCGTAACAACACTTTGGTTGATCGGGTTACAGCAATCGTTTTGAGACACTGGAAAGGAGTCAATAAACAATGATTGAAGTGTTATACGTACGAGGAGCCGTGGACTGGAAAGGTTTTACATTAATTTGTAGTTATTAAAAACCTATGGTACTTCTACATTTACCAACACCAGGTATTCAGCTGATTAAGCTATAGGATATTTATCAACTTGAATTATTAAAAAAAAAATACAATTAACTTATATTCAATATTATGAATGTATGTCAGTAAGTTTGGAATAAAATTGTAGTTTATAATTCAAATTTTAGTATTAAACATTATATAATTTCTTAATTTAAAAGTAAATATTAAAAAAAAAAAGAATTAAATATTGATTTTTATGTGTCACGTGGTATGTCGTCATCTGCTTATATTCAGATTACATTTTATGACGTCCACAATACAATGTCTATAATTTCTTATGAATTAGAAGCTCAAATTACCAATATTTACAGGCTATAATATAAAATAAGAACCTCCAGCCTTTTCTAGTTGTGGAGATATCATTATATTTAGCAAATCCACTACAGTGGCTCTGTCCATCCCTAACTTTTTTGGAAATACTTACTTATTTCCACCCACTTCCCTCATTTACATGTTTATAACCAAACAAAAGCATACATTTTGAACTCCATAATTCTGCAAGTGATATGATTAGAGATGAGATTTTTTAAACCTAAATACAGCTTAGTTGGGAAGCATGATAAATTACCGTAGAAAGTTGTAGTATCGGTACCATAATTCATAATTTTTTACTATTTCTAAATGCAAATCTACAACAGTTATATATTTTTTTTTACATCCTCCACATGCAAAATTCAACGAGGCTTAGCAAGTACTACACATGTGTACAAAGATTCTTCATAACATTGTTCGTAGTAGAGATCATTGTTTTCTATGTTTTAAAAAAATAACTGAAATTTAAGAATTTATTTGTAAATAGCAATCACATACAAGTAATATATATATAACACCATACGTAAGTAATGTATGGTAAATGTGATTGTATTCTACAAAATACTGATGTGCTACTACTACTATGACTAAACATTTCTACTTTGTAAGAACAGATTTATTTACTGTATTTAATACAGTACTGTCAGCTGCGCGTGCACCAAGTGATGTACAACTTATACCAGAGGTAACATTATGCAGAGAAGGTTCAAAGGTCAAAAAACATAAAATTAATATATATAAATAGACGTATACGGTTACGAGATTTAAGCTATTTAGAATAAACAAACGTTTGTAGTTTCCTATTACAATTTGCAGTCATTCTAAAATGAAAAAAGGGTAATGTAGATTTACTAATTTATAAGGTAAAACAAATCGACCAACTCCACATAATTAAGGTACAGAAAATAACCTTTCTAAGAAAAAACGTTTGATATTTATTTACAAGGTTATAGAGATGACGCAAATGAAATTTGACAATTTTTAGATGAAAAAAAAAAGACTTTAATCTTAAAATCAAAATTATTTTCCATGTTGAATAGTCAACATTCTAAAAGAAAAAAAAATTCACAAGCAAATCTACAGATTAAGAAAATGTAATACATAACTGAAATAAAACCTGGTTTTGTGTACGAACGCCTTGTACTAATAATCTGAAGAATTTTCACGGAGATACCCATAACCACCAAAGTAACCACAAGAGTAGTTTACTACAACTTTTGATAATATTTGTGCAAGAACAAACATTCCATTTAAGTCTGACTATGGGTCTGAGTGCATTGTTCCAAGTATGTTATTACTGAATATATATAGATAAAAGAAGGGAAACAGAAATATTCTGTAGTGTAAAATTTACAAACCTGCATTACTGCATTGAAAAAACAGGTGTTTCCCAAGTTCTGGAGGCCCTAGAAGAAGATAAATTCCTTTTATCATAAATAAATTTTTCATTTGCTTAACATGAGAAGTAACGTGTAACAAACATTAAAAAAAATGTTTTTTTTTATCAAAAAGCAAGTAAAGTTGAGCTCTTTACTGTTAAGACATAGCTTTCAGTGAGCTCTGAAACAAGACATCAAGTATCTTAGTTGTCCTTTGTGAACTCTGAAAACAGACTGTTAGATGTGAACTCTGAAAACAGACTGTTAGATATACACAGTTGTTTTATTTAAAGCTAATATGAGAGTTATGATTTAGATAGATATAAAGTGGGACTGTTTACGAATCATTTGTTGTGTAATTCAATTGTGAATTGATGGCACATTACTCGAATCTTCTAGGTTTTACTTCTAATTTCATTGAGTATTGTGACACCATAACACCTCGTAGTGTGTAAGAAAGTTCTAGGCCTCGGTCGGGAAAATATGTACAGGCGACCAAGTTAGTGAAAGTAAAGAAGTTAGTAAAAGTAAGATAAAATTAGATAGAGATAGATATAGACTGAGTGATCACAAGTTTAGCCATAAGTGGTGTATCATGGAGACTTTTACAGTGTAATAATCACAGACTGTATTGCAATAACAGAGTAGAGAAGAATAAATTCTTTTGTCAATTGTGTTCTAAAGTAAATGAACCAGCCTGTGAGGACTTTTGGCATAAAAAAGTATTTTCGAAAATCTGGATACATCTGTAGGAACCACCTAAGAAAATTAAATGAATTTATCATTGATTGTATTGTGATAACAGAGTAGAGAAGAAAAATTTGTCTTGTCAATTGAGTTCTAAAGCTAAAGTAACTGATGAAAAAAGAGAATTATTTAAAGCTATGAATTCAACTGTGGTAATTAACTGGGTAATGAACATTTGTATATACATTTGACTTGTTTTAATATATTATTTTAAAACATCTGGACTGTGTGTTGTTTGTTTATTGCTGAAATTTATCACCAACAAGTCACAGACACCTACTATAAAGAACTGCAGCCCTATAAAACCTGACACAGACATGGTTATCAAGGATCCTGAACTGTTTGTGAACTCTGTAAAAAGATGTGTTAAATACAGAGTTGTTCATCATAAACTCCGTAAAAAGACATTTCAAGTATCTCAAGCTGTTCATTTTGAACTCTGATGACTAAATTGAAGTGGCCAAATTTTATAAGTGTTAAAAACTTTTGACAGATGATATACACAAGGGCCATCTGCACCAGCCTCCCTAATTTAGCAGTGAAAGACTAGAGGGAAGGCATCTAGTCAATACCACCCATCGCCAACTCTTGGGCTACTCTTTTATCAATGAATAGTGGGATTGGCCATCACATTATAATGCCCCCACAGCTGAAAGGGCAGGAATATTTGGTGGGACAGGGATTCCAACCAGCAACCCTCAAATTGCGAGTCAAATGCCCTAACCATTTGGCCATGATGGGCCACATGATAGAGAAAGCTGGATGTCTTCTTAAACTTTCACAATACTCTTAAATATGTAATCAAATACATAAACAGTGGATCACGTAGCAAGGACTCATAACTTACAACAACAATGTTTATCAGTAAAAGGCCTTGGAGTTTAAATGAATTATTGATAGCAATTACAGGCTTAAAAACACATCTTACCTTAAGGGACTAAATGGTCAATTATTTATTGTTTTTTTTTTTTAAATCAAACAAAGATTCAGATAAAAATTCCTTTGCTCTCACATCAGTTCCAACATAGCTTACAGTGCAGAAGACTTGGTAAACTTTAACTTCATTGAACAGTTACAGAATGTTTGCATGTTATTTGAAAGAAAACTTAATTTACTATGCAGATTTTCCTATGCTATAACAAACACATGATCAACACAGCAAGCAACCCAGTTAACAAAGCATCAAGTATGCAGGGCTGGTATGGAGGCCAGACAAGTCCAGGGATTAAGTATATAAATGAGGGAAACTATTCTTTAAGAGACTTGTCTCGAACTTGTAACTACATATAAAGACCTATGTTAAAATTTTGAAGAAGTGTATGAATAAAGATGTGTTCATATACAGGGTGTCCCAGAAGTCTGGTTCCATAGGGAAAAATAAACAATGTATTCTTAATTTATTTATTATTTGAAGTGCATGCCATTACCAGCCATACACATATCAATTTTTGGTATACTTTGACATCAGGGTATCTTCTTTCCTGAACTATGTATAACTGATGTTATAAATGTGTTTGTTTAACTTTAAGAATATAATGTTTATTTCCCTATCGGTCCAGACTTCTGGAATACCCTGTAAGTTACAGTAGTGAAAGGTTTAGTTTATGATATATAGTTACCACACAGTCACTGTAAATTACAGTAGAGAAAGGTTTAGTTTATGATATATAGTTACCACACAGTCACTGTAAATTCCAGTAGAGAAAGGTATAGTTTATGATATCTAGTTACCACACAGTCACTGTAAATTACAGTAGAGAA